AGAGAGAGAGAGAGAGAGAGAGAGAGAGAGAGAGAGAGAGAGAGAGAGAGAGAGAGAGAGAGAGAGAGATCTGAATGTGACGACGGATCAACTGCAGGGGTTCCATCATTTGCACAAGAAGAAAAACTATTGAACTATTGAAGTTATGAGAAGGCAGGCATTTGTGTTGATTGGATGAAAGCCAGGAGGTGTCAAAGGGACTCTTGTCCGTCAGCAATTCTTGATGATGCCATGACTTCATCACGATGGCGATAATGACGATCATAACAATAATCTGGTGATGACGTGAAAGGAAGGTCAAAAGATGGAGGCTACTGCTTTGATCTTTGCCTGTTCCCGCGCTCAATAGATCGACCAGTCAACTAGTCAATCACCGAGTCATTTCTTGATTCTGTAGTTCTGCCATGTTGCAAACTGTGCAGGAGTCCTTTGGAGCATAGGTGGGCAGGGTGGGGAAGGGAAGGGGAACTGCCACGAAGAACTTTGTTTGTTTGGCCGCGAGCTGGCAGCCGACGGCCGTTTAGATCCATCCCCCGCCGTTTGTGTTTCAGGTTAAGCAGAGGAGAGAGAGAGAGAGAGAGAGAGAGAGAGAGAGAGAGAGAGAGAGAGAGAGAGAGAGAGAGAGAGAGAGAGGCCTTTAGCGGAGAAATGCATGCAACGGATAAGTATTCAAGCATGATGAGGCCTTTTGAGAAAATCGCATCTGGCCAGCGGAGGAATAATAAGGAGAGAAGGGGATGGTAATGGAGAAGAGGCAAGGGCAATTTGCTGAGTTTTGCTGCGTATTGCTGAGTCATCTCTTTAATTTATTTGAATCTCATCATAACCATGTTCAGATAGGACGAAATGCAGCTTCGCGCCATGTTCATCTCTTTAAGTTCCTTTATTTGAATCTCGAAGGCAGCCATCTAGCTCTCCTAGTCAACGCGAGTAAGGCGCAGCTACTGTATGCACAGACTACTGTGATTGCTGCTCACATGGAAAAGAGCAGTTGGGAGGATCCTCTGCAGCGAAGGAGTTGGAACTCGTGAACGAGTTGTGCCAAGAAGCTGCATGCACAGACGATCAACGATTGAAGTCAGCGTGTGAGATGATGAGGAGGTTGCTCAAGGTGATTAGAATGAACGGATCGACAGTGACAATCGACAGCGAGATGCACTCGCGGTGAACTTGTCGATATTGAAGAGGAGGGTTGTGTAGGAGGATGGGTTAAAGGAGTACAACCGTGGATTGCATTCCGCCGAGTTGATTGCATTTTGGATTGGATGATAGTGACGGAACAGATCAACAGGTGAGGAATATAGTTCACTGACGACGCTGCTGAAGGTGGACGATCATTTTGCGGTGTGCGGAGGGCTGGGGAGGTTGAAGGAGGGGAAGGCGGGGGGAAAGGGGAAGGAGGAGGGGAAGGGGGAATCGTTTTGCGGAGTGCGGAGGGCTGGGGAAGGGGAGGAGGGGGACGGGAAATAAGGCGATCGTTTTGCGGTGTGCGGAGGGCTGGGGAGGGGGAAGGGAATAAGGCGGTTGATGACGCGGAATGTGAAATGTAAGAGGAACGAAGTGATGGATTGGTGAATGTGAAATCGGGGTCGGCTGAACGGAGAACGGAGAATCGCTTCGCATGCGAATGCAATTAAGAGAGGCAATGGAGGAGCGCGAGGTACAGAGACGCCTATATTGCCTGTGTGCAAGGAAAGGAGTGGTTGTGGCCAAGATTACCGTCAAATACACGTACGCATGGACGTATGATTGATTACGTGTGCAAGTATTTTAATGGGCGAGGCGGCAAGTAATGGCGGGAAGCGAGGCGGCAAGTAATGGCGGGAAGCGAGGCGGCAAGTAATGGCAGGAAGCGAGGCGGCAAGTAATGGCGGGAAGCGAGGCGGCAAGCAATGGCGGGAAGCGAGGCGGCAAGCAATGGCGGGAAGCGAGGTGGCAAGTAATGGCNGGAAGCGAGGCGGCAAGTAATGGCGGGAAGCGAGGTGATCAGTGACTTGCGTGAAAGTGGCAAGGAGGGAAGAATGGCGGGAAACGAAGTTATCATGGACGAGTGTGAAAACGATAGGGAGAGGCAAGAGACAAAGAAACGTTTTTGATGCCGAGGACATGTGTTGGGTGGTGTAGCTCTGAAGGAGCGAGCTCTGGAGACGTCTATATGCCTGTTTGCAGGGGGGAGGCTGAATGTGACCATGATGTACCGTTACATACACGATACTTCGGGGAGCATCATTACGTGTGCAGGGGGAAGGTCCATACGTTTGTGCATTAATCGGCGCGGAGGCAGGAAATGGACCGGAAACGAAGGAACCACCAACGGCTCCGCAGATGCTAGGGAGGCAAGAGAGAAAGCAGATGCATTTTGATGCCGACGATGGTGGGAGTAGTTTGGTGGTGGGTGTATCTCTCCTTCTTCTATCTCCTTGGCCATCATTTGGTAAACATGTATTTGATCAGTCTTTTGGCGTAGATGGCGTTGATAATTGCCACGTGGCAATGATTTCCATGTAGTGCCACGTGGCGATAGTCATCATGAAGGGTCTGTGACTTCCTGCCACGTGGCAATTATCACCATCTGGTTCCACGTGGCAATTATCACCATGTGGTTGCACGTGGCGATGGTAATCATGAAGGGTTTGTGACTTTTCCTGCCTGCCACAGAGCCAGGAGAATGACGGTACTTTTTGTCCTTCGTTTCTTCCTGCCCTTGATTTCGTTTTCGAGAGTCTCTCTTTTTTCTTTCTCCGTAGCTTACCCCATCTTTTGTTTGCTTCTTTTTCTTTTCGTTCGCCTTTATCGTTTACAAGCACATATTCAATTCTCAGGTAAGTTGAATCACGGGGGAAAAAAACTTTTTTTTTTGCTTTCGTCTGCTTATTAGCGTTTACAATGAGTTATTCAATTCTCTGGTAAGTGGCATTGGTCTGAAAAAAGAAGCGTCCTTTTTCTTTGAGTATAGGTATTATTTATTCATTCCGTATCTTTCATTCCGTATCTTTCCATTGATGAAATCCCCGAGGTCTTTTAATTTCTTGTTTGAATCCTCGAATATATGGATATGTATTGTTAATTATGATGGATATGTATTGTTAATTATGGTGCCTCCGTTCATTTATGGTGACAGGCAACCTATTTAATGATAGCGCTTCTTCTTTGCGAGGAAGAAATTAAGAGCACAAATGCTTGCATGCGTCGTATATATATAGTAGATGTTGTGTTTGTGTAGGAAGAAATTAAAATGAAAAAGAAAAAATGGACATGTAGTTAAATGCCATGTAGAATTGAAAAACAAATGCTTGCTTGCATGCGTCAGTCAACGTTTAATTATGGAGGATTTTTTTTGTAATGTTTTATTCTCGATAGTGCCGGTTTGTTTTTTTCGCGGGTCAGAATCTCAGAACGAGATTACTTTTTTGTTTGCGCATGAAGAATGAGGGCCTAGTTGCACTCGCCATCCGCCGACATTTTGAATGCATCTTGACGTGCTATTCGCCCAGATGCATTCAGAATCTTGGCGGATGGCGAGTGGTGAAACTCAGCTAGGCCCTTACCTTCTCGATCGGCCAATGCGAGGTGTGCTCCAAGATGCTACGTCTTGACATTCAAGACACGCTGGTTTTTTTTTTTTTTTTTTTTTTTTTTTTGGACCATTTCTCGATTTATGCGTGTCATCCTTGCCCAAAACCATTATAATTTTTTTTCTCCGTATCCTTCTAATAATTAGAAGGAGACGGAGAAAAAAAATTGTAATGGTTTTTTTCCCCCTTTTCAGGTTTTCTGTTTTTTTTCTTTTCTTTTCTTTTTTTTCCTCGTTCTGGAGGGTACGCCAACATTGCAGAGATGTCATTTCTGTTCCTTTTTTTTTTTTTTTTTTTTCTTTACTCGTTCTGGGCCGATGTCCCACTAGCAAAGAGGATAGGATCAAGCTCCTGCATCTGGATGTGTTTTATGCAGAGTTGCAGAAAAGCAGTTCGATCTCGATTTCCTGCACCTCTCCACAATCACGTCCAGATTCGCGCATTCGATCCGATCCTCTTTGCTAGTGGGACCACGCCCCTGGGGGGTCCGCCAACATCGCAGGGATGCCGTTTCTGTTCTTGTTTTTTTGTTCTCTACTTGTTTTTTTTGTTCTCTACTTGTTTTTTTTTTTCTGTTCTTTACTTGTTCTGGAGGGTCCGCCAACTCTGCACAGATGTCAGAACGAACGTCGAAGTCAGAATGGCTGGGTAACGTGGAAGTTGTAGACTTCCAGATCTGCGCTGACAGGGTCTATCTTTTTAATATGAACTCAACGCAGTGGGCAGTCGCTTGCTTTTTTTTTTTTTCTTTCTTTCTTTATTCTTTAATGTATTCCGTTCCGATTGCATCGTTCTTTTTTTTTTTTTTTTTTTTTTTTTTTTTTTTGACGAACTACTTTTCAGAAACGGCGAGCATTCCTGCCAATAGGTAGAGATGGTGCTGGCCCAAGGGATTGATGTATCTAGTCGGAAAGCAGCCCAAGTGGAGGAGGAAGAGAGTGGTGGTTGGTTGGTCACAGCTTCCTTCGACGGTAAAAGCAAAACAAAGACGATGGGGAGCAACAGCATCCCACTTCTGTACAACGGGCCAGCTATCCTTTTTTTTTTTTTTTTTTTTTTTTTTCCTAGTGTCAGGCAAACACCAATTTTGTGCAATTTCCTAACAAGCCGTTGGTTGTGTGTTCGATTCTGCAGTAGGACATGCAATGGTTATAGGCGACTTGGTGATCAGAAAGAGAGCACTCGCACTCGCTCTTCGATTTTCCAGCTGGTATCTAGCCAGAAATACGACCAGATTCACCCCGGAAATTTTGTAGCATGACCAACGCACACACACACACCCAGCGTTTGAAGATTTCTTCATGGCTCACTTCCAAACCGTTTGGAGGCTTGAAGCTGCCACACGACAATGGCCTGCAAGCACTGCAGCGGGGCCGCTAGACCGATTTGTACTGGTGGTTTAGGGGCCTGGTACATTTGATCTCAGCCAAATAGACTGTTATGTGATCACAGGCAAATAAATTGTTGAGCACACTGCTGCTCGTGTTTTGTGCCTGTGAATCCTCTGGGGGCCAAGTCCCACTAGCAGCGTTGAGCTACCTCAACGCCGGAATCTGGACGCTTTTGCGGAGATGTGCAGAAACGGTGTCGAGTTTCCTGAACTGCACGTCTCCGCAAACACGTCCAGATTCAGGCGTTGAGGTAGCTCAACGCTGCTAGTGGGACTTGGCCCCCGGGGAGAGAAACGACAACGGATGGAATTGTGTCTGTGGAAGTTCCACGGAAATGTTTGGGTGCAGCGATGGCGAAGGCCCCTATAACAACACTCTACATGCATTTGGACGCTTGCTGACCGGATGCATTCGAAATGTTGGACTTGTACGAATGCATTTAGTCCAGAAACAATCCAAATGCATGCAGGATGTTGTGTAGTTAGTGAGTGTAGCAAGGCCCTTTATCTTCTGTTGCCGGTGATCGGACCATGTAGAGCGCTACGAAGAGGCGCACAGATAAGCAAAACTAGAAAACCGCAGGCATTCAAAAAAAAAAAAAAAAAAAAAAAGAGGGAAATTGGAGGCATGAGTCTAAACACAGTGCACTACACCCGGGGCGAAGTCCCACTTGACCGGATTCTTCATATCTGGCCGTTGATTTCCATGATCTACGGTCGGGAATGGAGGATCCGGGTAAGTGGGACTTGGCCCCCGCACCGGGCCTGCAGGCCTCTTACTGCGCGCCAAGCTTTTCCGCACCGCGCCAGCGGTGCACTTTTTTAACTTTTTTGGCTTTGGCTGGCTGGCGCTGCCAGCCATCGTGGTCCCATAGGCCGAGCCTCCTAATTTTTTTGTTTTCTTTATAAGAAAAGGCTACGAGTCTAGCACGTGCTGCTCCCCACGAATAGACTGGAGCATTTGTCCAAAAAAAAAAAAAAAAGAAAAAAAAAGAAGGAAACTACGAGTCTCTATTTCAGCAAGGCTGGGGGCGCGTACAGGTTCAGTAGGACTACCCGTACGGTAGTACAGGGGCCAGGTCCCACCAGCAGCGTTGAGTTTCCTCAACGCCAGAATCTCTCAACGCTACTAGTGGGACCTGACCCCAGTGTGGAGAACCGAAAGAAACACAAAACGGAAGATGTGTTGAAATGCCTCTGCGATTTAATTCATGCGTTTTTTTTCTTTTCAAAATATTTATCCTGGAAAGATGACCAGGAAATCTACGGACCCTCCAATTGTCAGTCTTTGATGCATTCTCGGGAGCGGGAAAAATAGCAGAAGTTGGAGTACGTTTCCCGTTAGCCTACAAATGGCACTGTGGCCAAATTAGAACATGCAACGAATGGGCGCGGTGATTGTTTCACTGTTAAAAATGATTTTATTTATTTATTCTGACATTTTTCCTGGAAAGATCACGGCCCAATCTACCAATGCTCAAATTTTGAGAATCTTTGTGAATTCTTCTGGACATGAAAAATTGCCAAAGACGCGGCTTTCAAATTCCAGGACTGGGGCCGCCGTTTCGTCCTCTCGTAGCCGCCCTCCCTCAAAACCCGCCCGAACTCACAGGGAGGGCTATTTCCTGCTGGCCGAGGGAGGCATGGTTTAAACCCACCAGTACCCCAGGGGGTCTTAGGCCCCCTCTGGGGAGTCTCTGACGCAAATGCATATGGACCTCTGCGGCGCACCGATTCAGCCACCGCGTTAACGGCCTAAAAACGTGGAGGTACTGGTGGTTTAACCACCAGCACCTCTGAAAGTTGCTGCCGCATGTGACAGTGAATGCTTCCACTTTATTTTTTCCCGGTGGCGACTACATGGGACAGGTACTGGTGGTATATTGCATGTAGGCCTTCTCATATTCTCTTATTTGGCTGAGCATTCGCTGAGCATTGGTTGAGCGTTGGCTGAGCATTGGCTGAGCATGTCCTCCCCCATGAGGAACATAACACTGTGACAACGTGCATTATCACCGTTGGTAGATCGTACACGCAGTGGGTGATGGGGGTGAAGTCCCCCTTCCAGAGGTTTGTTTTTTCGCACCATAGTTAAGAAATGGAGACCCTTGGTCAGTTACACCTTGCCCCAGCGGCCACATAACAGCTGTTGTAAAAGAATGCAGAACTTTGAGATCATTTACACTTTTTTGACAGTATCAAGCCATGAATCGAGTTGGATTCAGTGCAGAAAATTCCAGTCCGTGTATTTGCTGCCCTTGGGCAAGTAAACAGTGTTGCCTTCGGTGGATTTTCCAACTGGAAGTAACAAACAGTCTCTGAACAGAAACATTGGATCCCAAACTGGGACATCTGTCAAAACACACACGATTTGATGATGGTCATTATAAGCCGCCTGGTTGGTGACCACTTGGCCATCATGTTCACCTTGAATAGAAAATCTGGGAATGATTACATACGTTTCAAGAACAAGATTTGCGCGCATGAGGAGAAAGAAGGGGTCACACACACAAAAAAAAAGGTCAAATGTTGGATAGCCACTGCCTCTGAATGTGCATTGTTTTCACTTCTCTTTACGCTGACGCTGAATTGTGGAAACTGTCGCAATGATCTGAATGTCCTGTCCTGTTCGGCATCCACACGGAGTGGAGCTGGATGTTTGCGACCAGAACATGTTGTAGAGATGGCGTTTCAGGTCGTTGAAGAGGAAATTAGAAAAATAAAAACATTGGGGGATGCCTGAGGGGTATTTTCAGGTCCTTGAAAAGGAAATTAGAAAAACAAAAACATTGGGGGATGCCTGAGGGGGTACTTTGGAGCTGAATGGTAGAGCAATCCAAGTCCCCGCCCAGGACAGATAATCTGTGCTTATGGTGAGGGTATGGAGCACCCTGATGCGTCACGCGAGGTAGGAGGTTGATCTAAATTGGGTGGAAAAAAAGGAAAACATCTAGCGGGTCCAAGGCCATGGTGGAATGCGGTGCCGCAAACTATAAGGTGCTAATAATGGAGTTACCTGGGTTCAAATTTACTAGGAAAAATGGCTAGTGGGCCT